TCCACCGCCCCCGGGGAACCCGGGGCGCAGAGGGGGAAAGCCGCCTGACTGCAGGCTCCGCGCACTAATGGGATTGCAAGAGCGCCAGCAAGAAGGGATTAGTGATGAGAGGAACTCGCTGAAATTACATTGGGTTTTATTTTTAAAGTCTGTAGCAAAGGCAATGGAGAAGGAAACACATTTTCTGCAAACCCAGCTGAGTGCAGGGACTACTTTGCAGAGAGGGTCAATGTTGCAAATCGTCTGTGAAACATAAGAGCAAATCCAGTCATGTGCAGCCTATGCATTATGGAACATTCTGCTAAGTGCGCTGATGAAGAATGCTTTCGATCACTCTCCACAGCGACTTTCCGATATGAACCGCGATTTGCCAAAGACGAAGACAGTGACAACATATTGATACCACTTACTTGAGCATCTGATTAGTTCTAATCAAGCCCTGCTGCGTGCGCATGGCTGTACACATGTCTGTTTCCTGAAATCCTCCGGCCGGGAATCTGATCTGCCTGACAGGACAGAGTTCATTCCCAGGCGCTCATTATTTCACGTTTTCTCATTTTTATCACACTCTGCAGCGGCGAGTCATCTTACTATTCCAGAAAGTATGCACAATGTCAACAGTCCCCGCGCACAACTGACAACAGCCTTGCCTAGAAAGCCCCAGACAACTCCAACTGTGGTCATTTCGGAGATTTGAAAACTCAAGCAGAGAACAGGTCAACTTTCCTTGCCAACCCACACAATTTCGGAGCTGGGCGAGGACCCAAGCGGGAGCTGTTTGTATTCCAGTTTCACATGGACTGGTTCACTTGCACTTGGGTCTGAATCACCATTTTAACACTCCCTCTCCCGCCCCTGAAGGGATGTGAAATAGATTGTTTTACCAACAGGCCTGGGGCTGGCTGCCTGGCTCTTTATTCCCTCGGCTTTCCTATTTCTAGATCTCACCCCCGCATTGTACCACCGTTCCCTCCAGAGGAGCAACATCGCTGCTCGGAAGCCAGTCTCCCATGTGAGGCCACCCCGGCCCTCCCCGGGCCATCGATTCCTTTCAGCACCAGATGTGACAAATCGGCAAAGTGGCCGTGCGGGTTTTCTAGGTCACTCGTCACCCGTTTGTTTTTCTGAGTGATCAGCAACTTACCTTGTGCTTCAGGTCCCTGAGATAAGAGTTCAAACGCCACGGAAATCTGCTCCTGCGGGGCCGGGGTCTGATGGAGACAGAAAGCCGCAGGCTCACCCTCCTGCCAGGGGTGACTGTCAATTTCAGCCTCAGGCTCCCAGGCCCGGCCCCCCCGCCCCCCGCCAGCCTGGGCGTCACGTGCTCAGCCCAGCCACTCAGCCCAGCCGCTCAGCCCAGCCTCCCAGCCCTGCCCAGCCGGCTCTGTCACCTCCACCTCTTGCCGCTGAAGGCCGGGCAGGCCGATCTCCTTCGCCTACACCCGGTGCGTTCATGCCCAGAGAGAACCCGGAGTCCCGACCCAGGACGCCCTGCCGGGCTGCACGGCTTCTGTGACTGGGGTTCCCAGAACCAATGGGGTGCGGGGGTCCCTATAAAATGCCCTCCTTCCTCCTCGTGGGTGACAGTTTTGCCCGCAGGTTAGTTTCACCTTCTGTTGACAAAGTGATTGCTCAAGTGTGAAAAGCCTGGCAGCACACAGGGGCGACCCTGGGCCGTGCATTTGGCAGCAGAATGAGCCCCTGAGAACTGCTGCTCAGAAAAATCTTGAGGAAACAAGACGCCAGCCAGGCTCTGGGGTTAATGTTTAATGGTCGGGAGGCCCGGGCTCAACTTCTCTTCCATTTAAATTCACATCCTATTCGCCCCGTGGAGCTGGAAGGTTCCTGTTCCCGTCCTGCATGACATGATTCTTCAAATATTGTGTTCCCACCTTTGCGGTTTCCTTCCTGCCCACGGCGCCTCTGGCTTCTCACAGGTTTTGGGTTTTATCCCTTTGAATCCTTTTCCTCTTGATGATCTGCTGCTGGGACATTTGGCGCCGGATGAGGACCTTCCTGGCCACCACACTGGGAGGGAGGCGCTGCTGGCACCCAGTGGGTCGCGGCCAGGAATGCTGCCAGGGCAGCGCCACGGCAGCGAATGTTCCAGGCCAGGGCAGCAACAGGCAGAGGTGGAGAGACCCTGGTCTACAATTTCGTATAAAGTATAATTTGATGCCCAAATGTTTCATTTCCCAGCCATTTTTAAGAGTGCACCCTGTTGACCAATGTCACCCCAATAAATTTAATTAAAAAAACAACAACAGTGTATAAGGCGCTGGAAATTCTGTTCCTATATTGCCTGCACGTTCTACACTATTGGCTGCGTGTCCCTACACTATTGCCTGCGTGTCCCTACACTATTGGCTGCG